ACGACTTCCTCAAGGAAGCAATTGAAACGTTAGCCGTTGACCCAACATCAATTAAATTTCGACGATTTCTCCTGAGAGATGGACTATTATACCGAAAGTCAAACAATGCAAGAGAAGCTCCTAAAGTTGTTATTGGTTCTAAAGTTTTACAACTTTTGTTTAAGGAAGAACATCAATCATCCCTTGCAGGACATTTTGGTGCAGAAAAAAGTTACTTGGAATTATCGCGAAAATATTGGATGCCCTACCTTTATGATGAAGTGAAAAAACTTTGTAAAGAGTGTGAAACTTGTCAACGAGCTAAACCTGCATCAAAGGTCTATTCTGAAGCTTGTGAAAAACCGATTCCTGAGAAAATCTTTCAAAGATTGGAATTAGATGCAGTTGGACCATTCACTCTTAAAACTTGAAACAAAAGATAATTCTAGTTCTTGTCGACACTAGTACTCGCTTTGTCTATGCACGATTATTCAATAATCAGAAAAGTGAGAATGTGAAAAAGTTTCTCAATGGATTTTTCAAAATCTTTGGATTTCCGAAAATTATCCAATCAGACAGAGGTACGAACTTCTTAAGTGAAGAAGTTCAAGAATTTTTATCTTCAGTGAATATAAGACATTCAGTGTCTAATGCTTGGCACCCCAGTCACAAGGAGTCGTGGAAAGAAATAATCGAACCCTTGGTGATCGTTTCAGAACGAATCTGATTCAAAATGGTCTTACGAATTTTGAAGAAATTCTAATGGACTCAGTGTTTGCTATTAATACTTCCGTGCACAAGATTACAAGGTTCAGTCCTTATTTTCTGATTTTTGGAATTCATCCGAGAAAACCAATTGACAATGAGTTGAATCTTCCAGATTCTGATTTCTCAGTCATTGAAGCTAGGAAGCTTGCCCATGTGAGACTAATGTCTCAACAACAATACTACATTAATGCTGCTAAAAGAGTTGAAAACCCTTCTCTTTATGAGATTGGAGATCTGATTTTAATCAGAAAACATTATGGAAAAACTGAAACAAGTAAGAAACTTTTACCGCATTATCATGGACCCTTTATTGTTGTTGGACATGCCAAAGGAAGTCTAATAATTCTGAACCCTGAAGGAATGGAATTGTCCACCGTGAATGTCAATCAGACTAAACCCTATTTCGGTGAATTAGATGAACGAACCAGAAAAATTAAAGAAAAATTTTTCGATACCGAAGATGAAAGCTGGTTAGCTGATCCAAATCAACTACAAGACGAGAGTCTGAATGAAGTAGTAGCCACTGAAGTTACTTTGAAAGAAACTGTCAACTCTAATGAGAGTAATGAAAAAGATTCAAATCTTGAAAAGAACCAAAGTTCTGAAAACTTAAAGAAAAATCAAGTGCTGATCGAGAGATAATATCTCAAAATGATAAAGGTTCTAATTATCATGATGATAGGAGAGTAACTAGATCTTTGTCTAAAAGATTATCTAAATCATCAGATCAAATATCAGCAATTTACTTTTTTCAATTTGGTAGTTTGGTTAAGTCTCAAGACTTTACGCTAAGAAAAGCAAACAAAGAAGATAAGTTAAGCGAATCAAATAATTGCTTACTTAAGCTTGCTAAGGTCAAGCTGACTAATTACTCGTGTAGCTTTTTTAATCATCTTTAATTAGTCACATTGATCCCTAAAATTGACTGATATCAAATTCGAATTTGATATAAAAAGAAAGACTCTTCTTCTCGACAATCAGTTATTGTCTTACTTTGAAACTGTTCATTCGTTAAATTGTCACTCAAGTGAATCTATTAACTTTTCTAAATTTGTGAAAATTTGTGAAACTCTCGTGAGTTTAAAGATGAATAATGAAAATCGTGAGGTTAAACCCAATGGTTCTAGTGGTTATTCTTACCCAGATCCTATTAATTTTCCTGATCATGTTTATCCTGCTCCTCTTCCTGTTGCCGAGTTGCCTGAATTTTTGTCAATGGAAACCTTCACTCAAGTGAGAAATAAAATTGAGTTGAAAGCAAAAGAGCAACAAGAGTTGAGAGAAAATTTCATTCAAATGGTAAAGGAGAAAATTTTATTAAATATTGTCGCTTCTCCTTCAGTCTTGAAACTGATTGATTTCTCATGTTTACCAAGAGGTCTCAAAACCTCAAATGTTCATCATCCTAAACTGTTGGAAATCATTCAAACCGTAAGTTGTAAGCTTTGTGCTCAAGTTTCCCTGGAACCTGTTACCTGTTTGGAATGTGAATCGTGGTATTGTTCAGCCTGTGTAATTTGGTTGAAAAAATTGGTTAAACAAATCTCATTACCACCACTTCCAAAGTTTCAAAACTTTTTGTGTATTGTTCCTGATTGTGTTGCTAAAGCTTACGCCAATGAAACTTACCCCTGTTATGGTGATTTACCTAATAATAAGGTAACTGAAAATTACCTTGAAATGAAATTCATGTGCCGTCGTAATCACTGTTTCAAACAGTTAAATCCTCATGAATATTTGGATCATGAAAAAGGTTGTCGTCATGGAATAATCGATGAAGATTTTGATTTGGAATCTGAAAGCGTATTCTTGGTTGGACCTACAGTCAAATCTAACCTGATGAAGCCTCGAAGCTTAGGTGATATTATTCCCTCTTACATCAAAATCAAATCGACAACAATGGATAAAAGTTTACCCAAATATTGGAACAACAAGTTCGAGCTTTGGGCATGTCTCCTTCATGAGAGAAAAAATCACCCTGAAGATCCTTTACTCGGACCTGAAAAAATTCGTAATTTTACTGGGATTAGTCGAGGTTATTGGACCAGTTTTAAGAAAATAAATGACCCTGGATTTCCTATCTACGAAGGAGAGAAATTCATCCAAGATTGTGGATTTGACCCTGTTCATGGTGCCAAGGCAAAGCCTGAACAACCAGTGAGATTTCCTACAATCAATTGGTCTCGAGTTCCTGATTATCTCATTCGAGTATCAGAAGCCTGGTTTTTAAAATCCTTGGAAGTAAAGAGACTTCGACGAACTGTCAGTTCTGGATCAATCAGTCTCTCAACTGATTCAAATTGTTCTGATTCAACTTTCATCAGAATTGATCCATTTTCCAGGATTAAAACACCTGAAGATCTTGTTTTGTGTCAAGATTTACTGAAAATTTTCCCATCAATTGTGGTAATTGAAGAAAAACCAAAAGAGCCACGAGCTGAAATAAGCCAACATAACGCCTTGGTTAGAGAGAAGCGAAGACGCAAGCTTCAAGCTGCTTTCGATAGTCGACCTTCTCCTAATCTACCGAATCTTCAACCTGAGTTCGAAGAACTTATTAATGAGAATGCTGCTCAGTGCCCTGAAAAAGAAAGAATCTATTCGATTCATGTGGCTAGTGTTCGTGTTGAAGGTGGTGACCATTATGTTCATCGTGCTTGTTGGGTTGTGATCGTTGATGCCAACCTCGAGGTTGTGTACGAAACTTTTATCAAGCACAAAGATATCATCTTTTATGATACCCGATTCCATGGTTTACGCAAGGATCATCTTAAATTTGCTAAGAACCTTGATTCAGCCAAAGACCAAATACTCAAGTATTTAATTACAGCTAAAGCCATAGTTGGTGCTGGTCTTGTGAACCATTTTAATGCCTTGGATTTTGATAAATCCGAAATTGACTTTTTGTTACACAAATGCCGAGATGTAACTAATTTTTATTCAGCTTATAAGGAACAACCAATGAGCCTAAGCCTCGCAGCTTTCTTAACCTTCAAAGGTTATACTATTCCTGCAACTGCTCATTCTCCTGCAACCGAAGCTGTTATAAGTCTGAAACTTTATCTCATGAGTTGGAATGAGATCGAAGCCAAAGCTTCAACATGGGTTGGAATTCATCATAGGAATAGGACTAGAACCTGTGGAAATGAACGCATGGCTACCCTGTTAAGCATTTTCAGTGATGCTGTTGATCAAAGGACCGCTGAATGGCCGAAGAACTGGTCTTATTTTGTTCATAGCCGTCCAATGCCAAAAGTTTCAGAAACTTGCGTTAAAGTAAAAGACTCAAATCTTTCCGAGGAAAATGATTGGATGAAACTTGTCGATTCGCAACAAGTAGTTGAAGTTTGTTGGGACGATCAAGTTGAAAATCAAAAAGAGGAGGAAGAAAATTCTAAAGATTTGGAACAATCTGAGTGGCCTGAAGATTCTAAAGAATCAAATGAACAACCTGAAGATTCAATTGAACCAGGAAAAGATCAAGAAGATCAAGGAGACCTGGAAGACCTGGAAGACTCAAGCCTTCAAGAAGAAATTGAAGAAGATAATTGGTCCATTGAGGAGATTGAAAATGAAGACTCAGATCTTCATGAAAAGCCACCAACTCCTAAACGCTCACCTCAAAGTATTTTCAAAGAAAATTTGAAAAATAATCTTCATCATGAGTCGGGTGAATGTGAGGGATAAATTTTGAGATTTTCAGAATTTTCCTGAAAACACTTTAATGTTTCTCTTTTCTTATTTTAATTTTGATTAATTTGTTTTCTTTTAATAATTGATTAGCCTATGATTAAGCCTCGAAGCTTATTTAATCTAATGATTAATCTTGTCTTAATCTCTTTTGTTTAATGGACGCTTAGTCTAGCCACTTGGCTTTTATTTGTAATCTTCCCCCTATTTAATCATTTTTGTATCTTTTTGATTATCATCATTATCTTATGATATCTTATGTTTAATCTCTAGTTAACGGAAAAGATTCAATCTTTTAGTTAGTGTTATTTTTAACCTCGAAATGTTAACTTGATTAACTTTTTATGTTTCAATATAAATTTCATTGTGTTTTAGTTTAATTAATAAACTTTAATTGTTAAAGAATATTCAGTCTCAAAACTGTGAAGTTATCAATCCTACGAACTTAGATTGTTGTAGGCAATCGTGTCTTCTGAAGAGAAGTTAGGAAACTTTCCAAATTAATCCCTACATATAGCTAACTATTTAATTATAACTGTTTATCTCTTTCCTTTTCCTTGACTTTTCCACGTCAAGTGTTGGGTTTTGATCAATTAAAGCATTAGCTTGTCATGAATATAATTAGCCTTTTTTTAGGGATATAAATATAAATGATCTTCTCAATTAAATTTAGTTGATAAAAAAGTTTCTTGTGTGAGTTATATCGCCATGGCTTCAATACCTTACAACTTATTAGTTATCTCTGGTGTATCTGGACGTTATCCTGAGGCTCAATCTTTGGAACAATTTTGGTTCAACCTATTGAATGGTGTTGATGGTGGTACAATAGATAATAGAAGATGGCCAACTTGTGAGTATGTGTATGCGGTTTTCGAAATATTTGATTATTTCAATTTATACTTGTATTTGGAACTTATGTATTAATATACAGACAGGTAGTGACTAAAATTAACAATCAAAATAAGAAAAATCAATGGTAAATCATCTAAGTGTTATCACTGATGATAAAGATTATCAATTGATTTTAGTAGCTAAGTTGCGCGAATGACTAAAAATCACTCGAAACTCATTTTTCACGACTGTATATGAACTTATATTTGTGTCTCTCTTTCTACTAGCACTGCTAAATGTACCTAAAAGGTTAGCCAAAGTTCCGAATATTGGCCTTTTTGATGCAGAATTTTTCAAAATACCTACAGAATCTGTTTCAATCATTTTACCAGCAATTCGTGTTATGCATGAGGCTATACACGAAATGTTTATTGATGCTGGTAAGTGCACAATCATAAAATATCTTGAGAAAAGTTATTAATTCGTTTTTGAATCAAATGGAAGGTTTCACCCCCGATAGCTGGCGTGGTACGAATACTGGTCTTTTTTCTGGTGTAAGTGAGAGTCACAGACCACAATTTGAAGGAGTTCCTCTTGGTTTGAATCATCCTGAAAGCGTCAATTGGTTACATTATGTGTTTGATCTGAAAGGTCCAGCCATCAACGTGGACACTGCATGTGCTGCCGCTGCTTCAGCTTTCGATATTGCAGCGAGAAGCATATTGTTTGGTGATTGTGATCAAGCGATTGTTCTTGCTCATAATCATTGTCTTGTGCCATTTGTCTCTCATTGTTTCAGATCATTTGGAATGACAAGTATTGATGGTAAGTCCAAATGTTTAGATACTAATGCTAATGGTTATCTTAGATCTGAAAGTATTGTTGCGATTTTAATTCAACGTAAATCTGATGCCAAGAGAGTTTACGGCTCTCTAATAAATATCGCTGTGAACAATGATGGATTCACCAAAGAAGGAATTACTTTTCCACGACTCGAAGGTCAGATAGATGTTCTTAAACGATTATTTAAAGATGTGCATTTAGATCCAGTGGATATCGATTATGTTGAAGCGCATGTAACGGGAACTGCAGTTGGAGATCCAATTGAATGTAAGGCATTGATGGAAACAATGAGACCCAATTCAGATAAACCTCTTCTTGTTGGTTGCCTCAAATCAAATATTGGTCATTCTGAAGGTTCTTCCGTTTTGAATGCGATCTCAAAAGTCGTTAAGATTTTCCAAACTGGTGTAATTCCTGCTAATTTACATTTCAATGACCCAAATCCAAATATCGATGGGCTGATTGCAGGTGTTATAAAACCCATTCTTGAAAATACAAGATTCGATGGAGATCATATTATGATAAATTCGTTTGGGTTTGGTGGTGTCAACACTACCTTCATTTTGCAAGCAAATTCTAAAAGAATCGAAAAGACTGATCTAATTTTAAGTTCCAATAAAGTACCACGTTTAGTCAATTTTTGCAATCGAACTTATGAAGGCTTGGAAACTATTGTTAATTTTATTGAGGAGCAAAAAGGATCGTTAACAAAATACACGTTGGCACTTTTGGATAACATGAGTAAGATCAAACCATCAACAGGGTTTGATCATCGTGGATATTTATTGTTGGATCATGAACAAACAATCATTCATCAAACATTGAAACAAAATGTTTCAACTGATGAAGTTTTTCCTTGGTTGGTATTCACTCCAATGTTTAATGTCTCCTCACAATCATTTGTTCAACTGTTGGAAGCTCCTCTAATTTATTCAAGAATAAGATCTATGCAAACCGATCGCTTGAACTCATTAGGAATTGATGTTATCAAGATTATCCAATCTAATCAACAGGATTTAATTTCCTTTTTAATTTCGTCAATTGCGATTCAAATCGCTCTTTGTGATTTACTAACTAAATGTTTGGAAATTAAACCGAAAGGTATAATTGGTCATTCGATTGGTTCAATTGCTGCTTCTTATGCTGATGGATGTATAACTGATGAAGATGCTCTGTTAATCGGTTATCATATCGGTGTCGCTTGTAAACAATTTAAAGGAAAAGGAGCAATGGCTTATGTTAATTTATCATGGAAACAAATTGAAGAGATGAAATTTGGTTGTATCGAATTAGCTTCAACTGAGTCAGGGGATTGGACGTTGATCACTGGTATCATAGATGAAGTTAAACAGTTCATCTCAAAAATCGGACCTAATATCAAGACAAATATAATTGATACTAAAGGGATTCCTTTTAATTCATCTCTCCTTGACGAAGTATCAAAACCGCTTGAACCAGTAATCAATAAATTTCTCAGACCATTGAAGATAAATTCAAGATTAACGACTAACTTTTGTGAAAACTTTATCAATTCTGATCAAGAGCATATCATTGATGGACATTTTTTCGTTTCCTGTATCACAGAATCATGTAGTTTTAATGAAATAATAGAAAAGACTGATTCGAACTCTGTGTTATTAGAAATTGTTGCAAGTGTTGAGACGAGACAATCATCAATATTCTTAATAAATGATCAAAAGACGTTGAATATTAGCAGCTATTACATGTATAACCAATCGATTGTGCATCTTTATAAAATGATTGGTCAAATTTATCTTCGTGGTCTTAATCCAATGGTTACAAATCTTTATGATCAAATTGAATATCCAGTCCCAAGAGAAACTCAACACATTGGTCATCTGATTAAATGGAAGCATGAAAAGGAATGGTTTGATGCTAAATACAACAAGATTTCTAAACAAGAAACTGAATTTTCCAAAATAATTGATCTTCACGACCCTTCCTGGTCATTTCTTACTGGTCATCAGATGGATGGAATTTTGTTCCCAGCAACAGGCTATCTTTATGTCGCTTGGCAAATGGTCTGTAAGAGTCTTGATCTCGAACCTGACGAGCATCCAATTGAATTCTATCAAGTTCAGATTCTTCGAGCGACACAATTCATCAACCACAGGTCAAATAAAATTTGTTATGAAAATTAATGAAAATCTTGGAACTTTTCTCATCTACGTAAATGAGAGTAAAAATGTTTGTTTAACTGGAAAATACCATCTTGTTGATAAACCGACAATAAACTTGCTGCCTGTTGATTTTAAGAATATCAAAGAAAGTTCAGATATTATACTTCAAAAGAAGGATATTTACAAGGAATTTAGAATTCGTGGTTATGATTATTCAGGATCATTCCAAGGTGTAGAAGAAGCTTTTGATAATGGAAGGTGGGGGGTGGTCAAAGACACTGGACATTGGATTAGCTTTTCTGATGCTTGTTTACAGATTTCACTATTGTCTTCGGAATCTAGCAAGCTGACTGTTCCTGTTTACATTGATTATGTTTACATTTTTCCACCAGAAACATTCAGTGCCTTTAACGATGAAACTTTCAAATCATCTTCTATTAATATTAACAAACTTAGGTTTTACTACAATCCAGATGTGGGAATAGGACTCACGAACGGGTTTATTCTTAAAGGATTAGAAGACGAAGAGATCAAAAGAAAGATCAATACTGTGAACCACCAAATACGAAACCATAATCTAATCCCATTTAATTCGTATCATAAGCTTAGCAATGAAAAAGCAATGAGACAACAAGAGTACAGTTTCCAATGCATGAAATTGATTGAGAATATCGAGAGATTGAAATCAAAACAACTTAATCCAATAGATTGTAATAATCTTAAGCCTGATATCAATGAAAATGGGAATTCTGATAGAGCTTTTAGACGAATTTTGAACCAGATTTTAGAATTGGAGATACAACAATACAAAATTCCAATGGATGGTGTAGATTTCAACTCGAATTTAGATAATGTTCTCAACCAATATCATGATGCTCTGTACCAAGATTTTTTCTTTTATGAGCCAGAAAAAGTTTTACTTGAACAAACTCTGAGCATTGCAAGATACAATTTAATCAAGAAAAAAATATCAATTGCATTTTGTAATTTCAGTCAAAAACTATTTGAAAACGAGGTTAATAGCATTTTTAATTATTATGGAATAATTACTACTAATCATTTTATAAAGAGTGATTTTAGTTCCATTTCAGTTTATATTCAGAATCGAAAAACCGAAAACGGTTCAGAATCAAATCTATACGATTTTGTTTTTATTCGTGACAAGTCAGCTCTTCTCATGTACAAAGATACCGAACCTGAAGTAAAATGCAATCAATACGAGCCATTATTGAAGAATCTCTTTGATTCACTGAAAGAAGGTGGATTTTGTCAAATTATGACGAGAACTAAATTAAGACCAGTCGAACAAGAATGGCAACAATTGATTGGAAATAATCAACAGATCAACTTTGATTTATCAACAATAAAAAGTATAGCAACCGATGCTGGACTCACGTGGATTTGTCACAAGGAGATGATCGATGAAGGATATTGTTCAGTTCTACTGAGACGTCCATTCGCACCTAATCCAGATCAACAGGTAACATTTATCAGAGTCAAACTTGATAGCAATTATGATTGGATTGATAAGATAAAAGAATTGTCTAAAGATAAGAATCATAAAATCTGGTTAACTGGAGGTGGTTATGATAATGGGATAGTTGGACTCACTATGTCTCTGGTTAAAGATCCTCAATACAATTTGAGATGTTATTATGATCCAAGAAAAAGAGATGATGAAGAGATAATTGTCCCTGATGAAGTGATGCAAAGAGATTTGTTAGTAAATGAAGTTGATGATAACGGAGAAATTGGATTGTATAAAAGTGAACTTGCCAATCTTGATGATTTACAAATAGGAACAACGTCATGTTATGCTGATATTAAAACAAAGGTGATCTCAAGTTTACGTTGGTTCCAATCACATCATAGTAATTGGACTTATATTCCTAAAGACAAGCTCATTGAAGATCGTGAAAAGATAACTATCTATTATGGGTCTTTGAATTTCAGGGATGTTCTAATTGTCACAGGAAGAATTACTACAAAATTTGACAACCGCGAGCTACAAGCTGGCCCGCTAATTGGAACCGAGTTTTCTGGGGTAGATTCATTAGGTAATCGAATCATGGGGATGTGTGAAGCTGGAGGAATTGGAACATCTCTTTGCACTAAAACTTATTTAACAAAGATTCCAGTTCCTGAACACTGGACATTAGCCGAAGCTGCTACAGTTCCTGTTGTCTATCTAACAGCTTATTATGGTTTAATTTCTCGGGGAAATTTACAATCTGGTGAAAGTGTTTTAATTCATGCAGGTTCAGGAGGAGTTGGTCAAGCAGCTATTTCGATCTGTCTATCAAGAGGTTGTCAAGTATTTACTACAGTTGGAACACAAGAGAAAAAGGACTTCATTAAGAAACGTTTCCCTTCAATCGATGATGATCATATTGGTGACTCTCGATCAACATCATTTGAAGATATGATTATGAAGATGACCGATGGTAGAGGTGTTGATTTAGTTTTAAACTCACTTTCTGATGATAAACTAAAAGCTTCAATCAGATGCTTATCAGATTTCGGTCGCTTCATCGAAATTGGCAAATATGATATGATCCAAAATAATCAAATTGGTAAGTTGTAAATATTTTCGCATTTAATTTGGCCAATGAAGTACAAATTATTAATACAATACCCAAATAGATTCACAATTCATAGATTTCAACAAAACTTTTCATGCTTGTTGCTTGATGTTTCTACAAGATGATGTGTTCGTCAAGATGATTCCTGATCGGATAAAAGTTTGGAATGGTCTCATTGAGATGTTGAAAGAAGGAATCGAATCAGGTGAGGTTGTGCCTCTTCCAACAACGATATTCCAAATGAATCAGCTTGAAGAGTCGTTTCGGTTTATGGCAACAGGGAAACATATTGGTAAAGTTTTGATTCAAATGAGAGATGAAAATGAAGATCCAAATAAAGTTAAACTTTATCGTTCAATTGGTCAAACATTTTTCAATCTTGAAAAAAGTTACATAATAACTGGTGGACTTGGAGGATTAGGACTCGAAATTGCCTATTGGATGGTATCAAGAGGAGCGACTAATCTAACTCTTACTTCACGTTCTGGAATCAAGACAAAATACCAAGAGTATATTTTAGAAAGAATGAGAAACAATCGTTACTCTCGGATGAATATTATCGTCTCAAATGAAGATTGTTATACATATGAATCAACTGAGAGGCTAATTAATCAAGCACAAGAATTAGGCCAAATCGGTGGAGTATTTCATCTTTCAGTTGTTCTAAAAGACGGACTTTTTGAGAAGCAAACAGCTGAAACATTTGATGAAGCTGCCAAACCAAAAGCGATCGCTTGTCGTTATTTAGATCAACTAACTCGATCTCTACCCTACGATATTGATTACTTCGTATGCTTTTCTTCAATAGCAGTTGAGCTCGGAAGTATTGCCCAGACAAATTATTGTTTCGGTAATACAGCGATGGAAAATATTTGTAAGAGAAGAAGATTAGATGGATTACATGGTTTGGCTATTCGATGGGGAGCAGTTGGGGATGTTGGTATAATTACAGAGATGAATTCACCATCCAATGAGATGTTGAGATCCCTTGCTCCGATGCGTTTGAATTTAGTATTGGACTCACTTGACAAAACTTTATGTTCCTTTGGTAATAATCATCTTATCACCATAGTTTCCTTGCCTGATAACAAAAGTGCATCATCAATAGGGAATAATTACTCATTGAAACAGAAAATTTTTCATATCCTTAGTGTTAAAGATGCAACTAAAGTTGACCCACAATCAACTTTATCTGAACTTGGTCTTGATTCATTGATGGCAGTTGAAATCAAACAAGCTCTGGACACTGATTACGATTATTCAATGACAACCAATGAAATTCGAGAATTGAAAGTTGGTGAATTAGATGAACTTGAAAAGAAATTAAAAAAATCAGAGAAGAAAAAAATCAAATCTGCTCATTCATTAACTGGATACAGAAATATTTTCCATATTTATACGCAATTGTTTGTCCCATTGAATCAAAGTGAATTTGGATCATCATACTTTTATTTCCCTACTCAATCAGGTCAATTCCGTGCCGTTATTCCAATATTTGAATCATTCTCAAAACCAGTGATCGGCATCAGTTGGACCAAAGACTGTCAGAATCTCGAATCAATGGATGAAGTTGTTAACTTTTATGTAGATTCACTTACAACCAAATATCCAAATGAGAAAACATTTAATCTCATTGGTTACTCACTTGGTGGAGTGATTGCCTTAAAAGTGGCCATTGGCTTACAAAAGAAATTGAGTCAAAATTCGGTTAGAAATCTCATCATGATGGATTCAGCGCCCGAGATAGTTTACAACAAAATGAGAAACGCTTCTAAAGAATATGAAGGAAAAGATGAAAGCACCATTTTATATTTGACTTTAGATTATCTTTCATATTATATGAAAAGTGATGAAAAAAACGAAGTGAGAACAAAACTATTTGAGCTCAAAACGAAATCCGCAAAATTAGAATATGCAACTTCAACTATCAATAGGATAGGATCGTTTGAATATGATGTTAACCAGATAAGTGATGCTATCGATCTTTTTGCAGATAAAAAACGAAAAGCTACCGATATAAACGTGGACGGAAAATTCCACGGTGAAATTTTTTTAATGCGAGCAACAGATTCGGATGAAAACAATTCCGATTTCCATCATTTGGATGATTATGGATTATCCAAAGTAAGTTGGATTAAATTTATTTTTTATCAATTGATTATAAAATTTATAAGCAACAAATAGAAATTTAAAATCTACTTGTCTTTTTTATAGTATACAAATGGAGCTGTCGAGGTAGTAAGAGTTCCTGGAAATCACGATAACTTCATTATAAATGATTTGGGAAAAATTATTGACACTCTTGAAGTACTCGCAATGAAAACTTCTACTGGATAAATAAAAAGTTTATACTGATCGATGTAAAGAGTGAAATTGTCAATTTCTATCGAGATTTAGAAATATCTTAGGGTGAATCTAAAAAGAACTGTTTTCAAATTCAATAGTTTTACTAACTATTAATAATTTACTTACAAATCGATTGCAGTTATTAGACAGAAAATAAGATTGTAAAAATTTATCATTATAATTATTTGAATATTCAATAGGTTGGACATTCAAAACTCATATGGACAAAATAATGATACAATTTGTTTATCTACCGGTGGTCAGTGAGGTTGGCCGAAATGTATTTAATATAAACCGACCATCAATTTTATTTATTAGTGATTTTAATTGAAGCGAGTGGTCAATTACACAATGGTTACATGAATATCGTGTCAAACATGGTCAAGTTTTGAGATGTATTATTATCCTAGGAGAGAGAAGAGAAAACTTTGATTAAAAATCAAATTCTAAGAATATTAATAATTTGATTAACACTTTACCCTTAAACACCATTGGGAAAATTCATCAAAGGTGATTACGCCATCATGATTTGAATCCATTTGCTGGATAAAATTTCAAATGAAAATGAACATATATTAAATTATATCATGTAAGATAATCAAAGAAGGTCAATTTCGAACATACAAAAAAAATTTTATCAACATGTACTTGGACTGTTGATGCGCTGACCAATGGTTTCGTAAAATCTCCGAGCATCAAGTAAACCGCACGAACGATCGTTAAAAGTTCTTGCTTTGTTACGAATCCGTCGCTATTAATATCGTACAAATTGAATATCCAACGAAGTTTTTCCGATGTCGATCCTCGAGATAAACTTGATAACATACAAATAAAATCCTAAGGAAATAAATCAACTAAGTTAATTCAGTTAAAATTACAAATTATACTTGTAAATAGGAGTAAACAATCAAATGGACGAAATTTTTCTCTAATTTTCTGTTAATTATCAGCATTTAATGGGAAGCGGAAATTAGTTTTGAGATTCATTCCAGGATCAGCTCGATTGTACTTTTAAGATATCAAGGTTGTTTAACTTGTGTTCACATATTATCGAAATAGTACAATCATAATTGCGGATCGTATTCAATGATTGAAAAATAGATGAAATTTAGTTTGAAAAAGTCTAAAAATTTGACATTGGGTTGATTTTAGGTTATTGAAATTAAATGGCAATTAAACCAATTATTAACGAACGGGAGTTATTGCTCAAATAGCCCACGAATGTTACAAACAAATAGCATGAAAGTCGCTGCAATTTCCAACATGAACTGTAATCAAAGCATTACAATTAGTTGTTATTGATCAAAATCAATGTTAATATAGACAATGTAATTAAAAGACTCACAATTATGAAAAAACTTTGCGTAATTGTTGCTAAATCACCAACTTTAATCCCATTATATGGTCCAAGAGACCGATCCATTATTTCAAGTATCTAACAGAAAATGATATTTATTGTCAATTGTTGTAACAATAAACTCTATCCTCAAAAATTTACCTTTAATCTGATATTAATTGGTAATCTGGTTTCACAGCAGATTGAATGGAATCGTCTGTGTAATGTTTCAAGCTGAATGAATTGTTAAAATTGATTAGAGTAAATTAATAAGAATAAAGCTCAATCAATCTAAATGATAAAAATTGTAATAAAGTTTCAACCTTCAAAAGATGCTGATCATCGTGAGGATAAATCATTCAATTTCAATTATATCTCATTTTACCTATCGATTGTCGATTAAAGCAAAATTGAAACTTCAATTTATTTCGACAATAAAACACAACAATGTAGTTAATAGATATGAGATTGATTTTTCAAATTGAATTACGCTTTCAATTAATCACTTTCAATAAACTTCAAGTTGAAAAATCGAAAAGTGAAAATTTTCTCATTGGCTTTATACTAAAATGGACATTGGTCAAACCTTTGTCATGAAATCACCTACAAAGTAGCAACCAATAGCAGAAAGGGTTAGCACTAATAAGCCTAATACTGCATACATGTTGGCGACTAATCGGGAATGAGAAACGATGATTACGCCCAAAAAGATGAACAGATCGGCCGTAAAAGCGACCACCGTAAAATAATATAAGACCAAATATCGGAGTCGTTTAAAGTCAAATTCATAGACATTGAATCGGCGAGTCCAATTGCCGATAAGATTTGTAGCCCAATTGACAATTATCTCATAATTCGGCGTAAACTGAGCACATTTTAGATCGTGATTAGCGATAATTTCAATATCTCTGTGAATAGTTGATAGAAATGATTCCGATGAACAAGTGCGTGAAACTTTTGATCTTTTAACTCGCTGCAATATTTTATCGCTACTTTTGAGCTCTCGATACTCCTTGAAGTCGTCGTTATGACGGCCAATTGATAAATTATTAATAGACTCGTTAGGAATGGATTTTGATTGTTCAACAACTGACTGTATACGATAGTAGTGGATAGCACAAATGAGAAACATGTAACCAGAGGTTGTTAACATCTCATTCGCAAGAAAAACAGCTGACCAAGTGTGAGTAAAAGACCAGAGAGTACCATAAATCGCCAGAGATGATATTTGATATGTGTAAGGATTGGTAAAAAAGGGTATATTGTACAAGATCACTATAAATGGAACCATACAGGTAATTATACGATTATAAAGGTTGAGTAAAAAGTGGACAGTCAACTGGAACTGTTTAGTCTGAGCTGTGGTCATTTTAAGATGTGAAGAGTTGAAGCCATGAGTACGAACATAGTCATAATCTGCAAGAACAGTACAATGATTTTGAGCTTCGCTACGTAAGAAAGCTTCACGAACGAGCATTGACACAGTTATTGAGAAAAGATTAAACATGCATATTGATATACGATCTTTTGACCGGAAAACATTGTCCCCTAGATAGATGAGAGTAGCTTCGTCCTTGATGAATATCAAACTAACGAAGCGAACAAAGTTTACGGCCGATGCCAGCCGAATACTCCAATTCTTAAGGTCAAATGGCAAGTTTGCATGAAGACTTGACGTTGAAAGTGTCACGTCCTTTGAGTTACTATATTGATCTTTACCTTGACCATACTGACGGAATCCGTGCAACAAGGTACGAAAGAAAAGAGCATACTTCTCGTAGCGATTGATGGCCTCTTGAGTCGCTTCAACTGGAGCATCTATTTTGGGAACACCAAGTATCTGGTGGATGAAGATTCGCAATAGAAATCCAAATATATTACCAAAAAGTTTGACCGAATCGCATTGATTAATTATTTTCAATTGTGTTAAACAATTCAAACAAACCAATGGGCTTTTCAAAAGGCTCATATTAATAATCATAAATCATCAAAACACAATTGAGAGCTAATTGTCATCCATTTGGATGGTAGTTGATAACTGAAGAAAAAGTTTCAAGTTTGGTTGAATTATCATGTTTATTACGCTGAGAAAAAAGTTAGTCTATTGTTTCATTCATTTAATATTGTTAATTGTTAGTTTGCTTATTGTGATTAATATTTTGTTTCAATTCGCCAAAAAAAACGAGAAAAAAAGTTCACAACATGATATAAAGTCACAGAGAATTTAAAGAAAGAAAAAAAAGAAAAAGTTCTGAAAGCAAACGAAATCATCCCCATGAAAATGAAGATCAAATTTTAACTGATTTTTTTCTTCTTCTTATGAACATTAACAAGAAGAGTAATTATCGCGATCAACCATGATAATCATCATGTTTCCACAATCATGCAACCGTATTAAATATTATAATCATCAAATGGTTATCAGGTTTGATCTTGAAATTTACGATTTTCTATCTGTAATGATTAGTTAATCAACAATTAATGATAATTTCTGCACTTCATATGTAGGTTACTTCAATTGGGAATATTTATCGATAGATTCCTTATTAAATTATCCCACTTTAAATTCAATCAATTTTTTAATCATTATCATTTCTAATCATTGTGACTCAAAGTAATCTTGCTGAACAATGAGAAAAAAAGTTCCTTTTTTATTCCTCTGAGAAATCTATGATATTAGCATGGAAAGCATAATAATCATGAGTTATCGTTTTTTTGTTCTGCAAACTGAGTTTCAGCTTAGCTCATTCTGTTACATTACTCTAACGTGTAATCATTACAGTGTTATTATGAGAAATCTCATTATAAGATGAATGCGAATGATGAGCCAAAAGGACATCAGGCATTTTTGAATGTTTTTAGCCTAAACATTTTGAAGTGATTTTATTTAATTTTTGAGCTTATGAGTTAAAACAAATCAACATGTATTTTTAAATTTTTTGATCTGACTCGCGGATTTCGTAAAATTCACCCAAAACGGGAAAATGGCCTGAATTGTTTTGTGACCGAATTAATATACTTATATAGCTGATCTTGATATCAAACGAAAGCTCTTGAGAAATAATGGACCCTGACTCTAACAAGGTATCACCTATTTATCCCAAAAAGGCGCAATCCAAGTCAAAAAATTTTTAGATTTTTTGATTGACTAACTTATGATTAATCTTAAGTGATGTCCTTTCCCATGAAATTTGTTGAGTAAAATGTAATGACAATGAAAGTCATTTCAACGTTGTTTATTTTATCTTCTTGATTATTCATTAATATTCACTAATCACAATCTAAAATATCCACAATTAATATAAGATTATTGTTTAACTCAAAACTTTAATGTTAACTAAGGGAAGAGGGAACTGAAGTGGGACTGAATAGATGGTACAATGTATAACGAAGGTAATCATAATCAGATCATAATGATCACCTTCTAGAACATTCTAGTGATGCATTAATAATTAGATATTATTATGGCAATACATAGATGATATTCATGGTCATCAACATGGTGACATAGACAAAACATAGACTAATAATAATTTTGTTACACAAGCCCCGTCTTCTAGACGAAAGGTCTCTCTTTAGTTACTGTTGATTTAATTGAGATCTTCACATTGACACAATTTAACTAAATTAGTAACAATTTACTTTCCTCACAATCGCGGTGTGGATTCAGCAATTAAATGCGCATTCAAAACAAAAATGAATAAGGCAATTTATTGGTGGTGTTGTCAGTAAGTTAGTGTGTAAATTTATTGTGAAGAACTTCGTTTAAATAGAGAAAAGAAAACATGTCCATAATTAATCACTTTCGCATTATTGGCCGACTCATAATTATTGGCAGTAGAAGTGACCTGGAAGCGATCAATGGACTCAGGATAGTGAAGTCCATAAAGACAAATAATTTCAAATTATTAGATTACAAAAGTGGCCTGCATTGGTCAATAGATCAAAGGTCATCTACCTCCATGATAACGCGCGACCTCACACATCGAAACAGGTCAAAGATCAAATAAAAGAGCTCAATTGGGGGGTATTACCTCACCCACCTTATTCACCTGACCTCGCCCCTTCGGACTACCTTCTTTTTCTTTCAATGTCTAACGCGCTTAGAGGTCAAAAATTCGATTCAAGGTCAGGTGTCGAAAATGCCGTCATCGATATTATTCATAATGTCGTGAGTTTCGCTTAATTTGGATTTGAAAATTAAATTTCATAACCTATTGTAACTTATCTATATGCTATAAGCTATTGACTGTTGTTGAAAAGATGTTGTTTTTTCAATTTCATTAGATTCTTTTGTTTTCTATTTAGCTTTCTTCAATGTTCAAAGAAAGCTGATATTTTTCAAGGTCACTCCATTATATTATAAAAAAATTATCTTAATTTTTTTCAAGTTTGAAATTACCGCGAACTAATTTTAGTGCATTGTAGATGGCGCTAGTGTAGAAACATATGGTAACTCCATCTATCGTTCCAACAATTAGTCAGATGGTAATCATGACGTATCAATGCAACTAAAACCTGTTTGAAAAACAACTTAATAGGCTTGACAGGTAATCAATCATCTGAAGGATTTATCTTTCAAATTTGTTAAAAATTACATCATTATAAAAGTTAATTTATGCGCATTCAAATGCGCAAAAACTGCTTAACCGATAGGGTCCATATTTCGTCTATGGAAGTTTGGCCGATACTCAATTGTCATATTTCAAGGTCAAGGTCATAAAGGTTATTCGTGCAAGAACGCACTTGAAGGTCATTTGAAGAACTTTACGAAAACTAAGAATTTTTTAAGCTTGGTCATGAAGTCAAAAATAATAATATTACAAAGCAACGTTGGTGTTACGCTAATACAAAATCGATTACTTTAGATAACTTTTTACAGAAAGCAAATTGCATCAGACCCTGTAAGTACAGGAATGTTAAAACATCACAGGTAGGCTTAAAAAAATCCTTAGTTTTCGTAAAGTTCTGTAAATGACCTTCAAGTGCGTTCTTGCACGAATAACCTTTATGACATTGACAAATATGATTGAGTATCACCCAAACTTCCATGGACGAAATATGGACCCTATCGGTAATAGTTTTAGAAATCGTGAAAACCAACAAAGTAGCTGAATTGCCCTGTATATTTAAAAGGAAGAACGTGATAACTCTTCCGGGTATTCGTAAACAACATCTTATCGTTAACATTTCTCTTATATTATATATTATATCGTGTAAACTTATATTTTTTACAATGTTCACCACAAGTCAAAATTTCCAACAACAAACTTCAGATTATACCGCTGTTGAAAATCATGTCGCTACCAGTATAGAATCATCATCAAATAACACTATTCATCAATCGAATATGGGTGACCAACAAAGTGACTATAATGCAATTTTCGGACACCCTGTGGACATTTCTTCAGAAAGTCAACGGTCCATCATTTATAATTATAACATCTCGGTGAATCAATAAAAGGATAATCCGGTACTTTCGTGTGACAGCAATAAGCATGACAGTGCAAATTTTCACGGACAACAAATTTCAGTCCATATTGATTGTGAACATAATGTTGATACTTGTACTGAATTATCAGCAAATACCACCATGCATCAACCGGATAAAGAAGTGAGTGACCAACAACTTGACTCTGATACTATTGTCGATGAGCTTTTGAACATTGCATCGAATTATATCTTCTGAAAACAATAAAGACTCGGTGGGTGATAAATTTACGAGCAGTTCGTTAGAGTTTCCACATAACAATGGTAAATTAAATAGGTCTCTGTCAACACCACCACCATCATCATCTACACCAATCGGCAATCAAATTGAAACCAGCTCACCTTTCTCTTTGTTCTGTGATAACCTAAATCATCTTTATCAGAACCATAATGATACGTTGATATTGTCACCACCAACATCGCCATCATCAACCATTTTCAATCTGACATCAATATAGAGTGACACTGACAGCCAATCTGACCAATCTGAAGCACCATTTTTCGACTCAAGTGAGTTGGATAAGTTTTCCCCAACAATTACAACATTCATGATAACCATTTAACCAGCCAGTGCTGTCTCGATTCAAACATATTGTCAGCGGAAACAACGTCAACTAGCACCAATTTTCCATTGATTTTGTAACTCCGACAGTTAACTGGTGCGATCTGGAGCATCATCTTTGACTTCAGTTTTTTGAATACAATTCTTACCAACAATAACAGCACCCATAACAATGATTCAATTAACCAACTTGGTCTTGATTCAATTATATTGTCAGCGGAGCCAACATCAACCAGCACAAATCTTCCTTTGATTTTACGTGATTCCGACAATCAAATGGTTCGATCTGAAACAACATCTTGTGCATTATGTATTATTGTTGTATTATTATTTATTGTATTATTGAGCATTATCTGTGTGCATTATTCTATTACAAATTATATGAATGGAATACAAAAGAATATATAAAAATACTAAAGAAAATACAAATGTTAATATATCACCAGAAAATATCTGTTTAATAAATGTCCTTGGGTTTTAGTGCAATTCATGGTCGTTCATTTTCCAGAAAGCGACACGACTAAAATCGCTGTTGATAGCCTGCTTCATCTTATGTATATTGTCGATGAAAAAGGTGTAGCTAACACTACAATAAAACAATCTTTTGTATTCATTAACCGTATTATAGATCTTGATGACGTTCCGCAGATAAGTGGGGCTATGTGGTATTTTGAGTTGCTGAGCGTAGAAGAAAAAATTGATTTTTTCATCTTCAGTTATTTTCATACCTTTCTTCGCTATCATCCCAAAAAATAGTAATACCTAACTTCTCTTGACTTTACTTGTTTAAACTGTAGTGTTACCTTATGTAATTCAATTTTGGCTTCCTTAATAGTTTTAATGTTTGTATTGATTTTCATAGTTGCGTAATCAGCGTAAAGCTGATCTGGGGTGATTACGCTCTGTAAGAAGTTTTTGTAGACGTCATCTATGGTAAGAGAAACTTTTACCTTAATGGCTTTTCTTTTAGGAAGCAGATCTCCATAAGGAGTCTGTATCGGTGGAAATTTTTTAAACTTTGCAAATGTGAACGAAGCATGTTTATAAATGCTGTTCAACATCACTAATCTATTTTCATTAGGAATGTCAGCAACGATTTTTGTGAACATGTCTGAAATGTCACCTCTCATGTATTTAGGAATTTTGTGCTTTGGAGCACCTCTTGAAGAATCATCTGACTCATCGCCAGATGACTCGTCTGAATCATCATCATCTATTGTGGAATCAAATGGTCTCTTAC